CATGGCTACCCGAGCGGTTCAACTCGAAGTGGTGCATTCTTTGACTACCCATTCCTTTATTTTGGCATTAATGAGGTTCGTTGGTCGAAGAGGGAGACCCTTAGATATTTACAGCGACAACGGATCCAACTTCGTTGGTGCCGTTAAGGAACTCAGGGAGCACATATCGCTTTGGGACCAAGCGAAAATCAACAACCGAATATTGGCTCGAGGTATTCAGTGGCATTTTAACCCCCCGCTTGCTAGCCATCGAGGAGGAGTGTGGGAGCGAATGATACGATCAGTATGGCAAATCATTTTTGTGCTCATCCAAGAGCAAACTCTATCTGATGGTTGTCTGTCAACCTTTTTTGTTGAGGTGGAACGTATTCTAAATGATCGGCCTTTGATATCTTTGAGTGCAGATTGCCGTGACGTGTTGGCTCTGACTCCGAATCACCTTTTGCTACACAAAGCGAACGCAGGTATCCCATCGCATTGCGATTTGAAAGAGCAGCTCACCCAACGTTGGAAACAAGTGAATTATTTGTCGGAAGTTTTCTGGAACAGGTGGATGAAAGAATACATTCCGACGCCTCAGTGACGCCATAAGTGGTTAAGTCGGAACAGAAACCTCAGAGAGGGTGACGTCGCTATGGTAGTGTCCGAACATCTCTCTAGAGGAAGGTGGCCGCCGGGTGTTGTCACCGAATGTCAAACGGATGCAGACACCCTCGTTAGAACGGTTTCCCTCCGCACTAGCACCGTTGTCATCAAGCGCAATGTCAGGAGCCTATGTTTGCTGGAAGGGGAGGACTAACGAGGTTTAGGGATGCTTCCTGATAGATGTATTAGAACAGCCGGTTTTTAGCTCAGCGTGATATCGTGAGTAGGCGCGTGTACCGATGAAACCGACCTTTGTGGCAGGAGGGGACTCGAACCATTCAGGTCGGTGGCTGACGTTGCATGCTTGTAGGCTAGAGCTCTCCTGATGACTTACCTGTTCGCTTACTGACCGTCGGAAGAATTTTGGCTGGCGGTGTTGCAACTTCATATATATTTAAAATTGCCTCCAATCTTGTATGACTGCCTTCCCGGTTAACAATTCAAAAGGACCGCCCTTTTTGAACTGGTGGAATTGAACTCTATTTCAGTTTTGCAAGACATCCATATTTTCCGTTTTCCTTGCCGCGCAAATCGTTTTTACCGCTTTGATTATACTATTTTTGTACCAAAACCTTCGGCTGCTATATATTGTTTTAATTCATGAGTTTGAGACGCAGTTTCGGTCAAGCGTTGACTGTTGATCCATATCGGCTTTGCTTGCCTTTTGGAGTACCTCACCGTTTGTCGAAAACCGTTGAGGCTTTTAATTTTGTATTCCGTGTAAGTACTTTCATTTTTATAGTACAGCACATTTGCGTAGCCATTCGTTCGGAGTTTTGCCGGTTTGGTTGTTAACCTTGGTGCTCGTTGCTCAAGAATTCGAAACGGTCCTTAGAACGACTTCACTCATCTCCTGCAACGCTACAAAAGGACACCTGGATGGACTTCCAAAACGTTGCACCAAGTGGACTTTCCGCAGCGGCGCTAACCGAATTTGTTCAAATGAGCGCTCGGGCTCAGCATGCCGATGCACCCACCAGATGCTGCACAGGCATTCCTTCCTGAATTCGGTCAACACCGACGAAAGACCCTTTGTTGATCAGGTGCTAATTAACACTCCACTTGGACAAAGCGGCCATGTGTGCTGACCTCCGATTTCATCTGCTATTGGGCCGAAAATTCCGCACCCTAAACGTGAATTCGAAACTTCTGCAGTGCAGACTTTTCAGGAATGCGTATCTTTCTCGAGCAAGTTAAAGTGGAACCAACTGCAGTGGAAGACAGCTCACACAGTTGACGCACTGTTAGTCCCAAGAACAGCACGAAATTAGATTAGCCGCAAGACACCTAGAAAAGGGGTCTCAAACGTTTTTCAGAAAGTTGACTACAGGAGACACCGATGAGCTGGCTGTGGAGCATGTGAAAACAAGCCGTTACTCTCGACCCTGCCAGGAAAAACACAAATGTGCTGTTCAAATATATGCGACATGGCCGCAGAAGCAAGCCATCCGGGTATTCCTTGAAGGACAGGAACGGAGGACCCACGAGTGACCCAACAGTGGTATCTGAAGTCTAGAGAGAACATTAAGAATTGCTGTAACGAACCCCAGCTTCGGATCCAATTTTGCCAAGGAATAACTACAAAGGTTATCTAACCGACTTCGTCTTCGCGCGTTCACCGTTTTATGGATGATTTAGCGCACCTTCTCCCGTATTACTCGCATGGGCTTCCGAATAATTTATGCGGCCCACGCCGGACCGCTCCCTTAATATGCCAACCAAGTTTTATACTCAGGACGCACGAAAGACATTACCCTCTTTGAGCGTGTCCAGCGAGCCGCTACGAGAATGGTGGCCGGCATCCAATCCGTGGACCACGGAACGCATCTCGTGTAGCCTGACGTCGTTCCCCTGTAGTATCGTCGCCTCCGAGGGGACCTATTTCTTACTAATGCCCAGTTTGAACAGAGCTTGGCCAACAGGTCCTTCACCGTTGACCCTGCAAACACACGGCGGGGACAGAGTAAGAATATTTCCGAGCTCACTGCGTACACATCCATTAGGCAATTTTTTCTCGTTTCGGGTAGTAGCTGCGTGGAATGGCCTTCCTCAGACGGGTGTAAATGCTCCTTCTAGAACCCAGTTCAACACGCTACTAGACATTTATTTATGCAAATCCTCGCGCTGGCAAGCATACTGCCGCGCGCTGAGAACATAAAGAGCAGTGGTATGCCCTTTTTTACTTATGCCTCATAGGTGAACGACAGCCGCTGAACGACAAGAACAAAACCGACCCGGGAATCTTGAGCAAAAGCCTCGATCCTGTGCATCAATCTGTGAATCCGTGAAAAACATTGAGGCATCGTCATCTATTGAACATCTAGGGGTAATCACATACTGTTGCTCAAATAATACCTGCGAAGTTTGAAATTTAAATGAATTTCTCAGAAAGCGCTGTTCCCGGTGGTTATTTAGGTTAATCATTTTATGGTTGTGGAATTAGGCTGTTTTGGTCTTGGTGTAAAATTCCACTTACAAATACACCTGACCTTGCATCCAAACCCTTCACACAGTGGACAGGATGGTTTCAGCAGTCGAATGAACGTTATTTGAAATTTAGCTTTACAGTGGGCCCAGATAGGCGGGCGATAAATGTTTTTGGTGCGGACTTGAATGCTAGTGAGGCAAATGTTTCAGCACTGCAGGTGCTGCTTGTTATCCTCGCTGGGAAACTTGTTGATTACTCAAAGGAGCACACAAATTTGCGCTGGAATAAGATCGCAGTAGGCGCATGCATCTATGAAAGCTTCGCCAGACTTCAGTTATTCCCGTTGTTCCACAAGCCGAAATGTCTGTTGCACACACTTTCCCAGCCTTTTTGTGTGAGCACGTTTTAGGCCCCTTTCTACGAATGGGTCGGAGCCCTTAGCCTCCCTGATCACAGACGAACGGACATCAAATGACTGTCTGTGTCAGCCTTTGTGAAAGTTGGGCAATTCGCTCCTGTGTTAAATGTTTGACTTGTTCAGGGGAATGATGCGTAGGCGGTGTTAGGTGAAGTCATTCTCCGCTGTCAAATTCGGGGCACAAATGTAGACTCTAAGTGTCGATCCTGTGTCTGATATCGTGTTGTTATATTTCTATCTACTTAAAGCTACCGTAGTGTTTACAACTATCACGTGACATCCATAAATTTCGGGTATGGACTTCTTCGGCCCATGGTATACGCAGTTACGCGTGTGGGTTGCCTGGACAATGACGAGCAGTTGGTGGCACGCAAATTCCCCCAGAAATTGGAAATATATCACCTAACTTATCCTTCATTCACGACGTGCTTCACCGGCAGGTGAGAACATTTCACCTATAACTAGGCCGTCTGTGCCCATTTCATTATGGTTCACTATGTCATTTTGACCTACAGCCGTTTTCAGAATTGCAACGGACTTCCTGAAGGAATAGGCGCACCACCTTGACGGCTTCAAGCACACCACAGAAAAGGCGTCATTGCAGGCTGAGTGGTTTAGGTTGGAACTAGAGATGGATACGTCGCACCGCTGCAGCCAAAGGCGATTTCGAAAGGGTGACGACTACATATCGAACGCGGGATATCAAGCAATTGCGCATGCATTTTCCCAGGTTTTGAGGCGCCAAGTGTCACCACCGCAGACGGCGCAATTCACTAAAATAGAAATAAAAAGGTGGGATAAATCCGTGTTAAGTCACATGTAGTTCCGACCCCAAAGGGGAACTCGCGTAGTTGTTACATTTGTCAGCAAACGCAGCTCCCCCTTCTGCCAGATGTGGGTTTACCGTTTGTCCATCTGCCTGTGATACTCAATGCCGTTTGCATCAATGCAAGTGTGGATCTATGGCGTTCCCCAGAGGGGCTCCGCTGCGATGTCATTTGAGTCGAAGCACAAGGCACAGCACACTCTGACCCGCGGATTAGTGCGTGTTAACCTTTTTGTTTCCAAAGAAGTACTGTTTGAAAGCTCTTAGTTTACGGTGTATTGTTAATTGAAATCTTCTTAAGTGCCACTTGTGGACGAGAGACGGTGGTCATTTTACCCGTAAATGAGAATGTTGCGCCATACTTTTTTAGGGTTATTTATCCGATTTTGGCAAAATCTTGATGCGGCAGTAAGGCTTATTATCTGCCAAACCCTGTGAGATACATGGATCAAAACGTCAATAAAATCAGTCATTCGAGTAAAGCCAAGGCGCAATGGCTTAACCGACTGCAAGGGATACTTTCATTCGATATTCTATCCAACGACGCATAGTGGCTGTGCTACCCTGCACGTGCCTGTTTAGTGGGGATCATGTCTACATCGGATGATGCCCATTCCCAGCGATGCTGTCCCTGCTCCTAAACCACTGTGCCCCTAATCCCCGTCAGTTACGATTTTATTCTGACCGTGACATTATTACCATACCTGACGGTATGCCACCCACACGTCAGGAACTCATCTAAAAGAGTGGGCTCATATCCTTTTTGACTGAACCCATCTGGCAACTTTCTTTGAAAAGCACCAGTTAACTGGATACCTTCTACCTTCATCCGCACTTTGAGCGCATGATCTTGGTTCCATAGGCTCTGGCGTGAACCATGTAAGGTTTACCGTCCCCGCAGCTGCACAATATTAACTGACGGCTTGAGGTTTCCTCTAAATAACGGAAGGGTCCGGTGGTTGTAGTCTATTCCCAGGGGCTCAATGTGTATGCCCATGAGGCCATGTCATTCGACAGTTTTTCAGCATTGACCACTGAAAGCCTATCGGTTGCCATAATTTGTAAACGGCTATCTGTTGCCAGTTAAATGCCTTAATGATTCCATGACAATATCGCTAGAGAGGTTTCGACCTATCGGCGTAAGCAGTGTATAACTTATGACAATGCATGGATGTCTTTTCGATTTGTCGCAATGCTGTGATTAGAATTTACAAGCAGGCAACAGCATCCTCCTGTATATTTATGCAAACTAGCAGATCAGTAGTCATATAATGGCGCTTACCATCAGTAATGCTTACAGATACGCATGGATTCGAGTTTCCTTGCTCGTCTTTCTATGCAGACAAACGACAAGTGGAATTTTATACACTGGATCAAGCCCCTCACAAATTCTTATGAACGGTTGTGTTGTGGGCCACAGAAAGTTCCCAAATTATTATCTCTACAAAAATGCTTTTCTCTTGGGTTTACTTAAAGCTAACCATGTTTTTCAGTAGATTCTGACGTCTTAGCGGGCACCGATGATTAATTTGCGAAAAATCGCTCGATTGGACAGATCATCCGTATCTAGAAATTGCGTGGAAAAGGACTAAATGTAGACCATTCTAGTTACAAAGAGTGAATCCCGAAAAAATATTTTGCCAGATAGAGAAATTTGGTTTTCCTGATAAAACTACCTAAAACCTGGGAACTGCGACCTGTGAAACCCTGGTAAAGTTTGCACACTTTCGTCCTCAGCTCTTATTCAGGGCACTTGGCAGCCCATAGTAAAAGAACAAAATCACGATAAACCACAAAAAGCGTTTGTTCTGGACCTTGTGATCTGACTGTTGTTTGCTTGTTTTCCTACAATCGCCGCCTATCGGTCACAAACTAGCCAGGGTGGTAGACATTTTGGGCTCACTCTGTTGCCTTGCGGAAGCTTCCTGATTAATTCTGCATCAGACCTTGTTGGCTAGTTCTGTCTTGTGTATCACAGCTACGTAAAACCAAGTACCTCTTATGCTCCAAAAGAAATGTCAACGTTTTTTAGTAGCTGCAGAATTCCAAAAAACTAAGCAACTGGTAGGCGGCAACCTAAGCCTGGAAACCA